ACACACACACACACACACACACACAGGTTTGTTTTGCTATCTTTGTGGGGCCTTTGCATTGACTTCCATTCATTTTTCATTCATTTCTATAGCCTAACCATGACCTTTATCCATAACCTAACCATTACCAGTACATAGCTAACCCTAAACCTAACACATCCTCAATTCACACCTTAGTCCTAAACCTAGCCCCTAACCCACCAACGGGACTTCTTCTTATGGGGCCCGGGCTTTGGGCCCCATAAGGAGCAGTTGGTCCTCACAATGCAGCATAAGTTGGAAAAATGGGCCTCACAAAGTAGCATAAACAAGGACACACACACACACAAAAACAGAGAATTCCTAAAACTGAAAGTCTTGTGACATATTACAAAAAAAAAAAACTTGTTTAGAGCTGCACAGAACTCTAAATGCAGCAAAACTGTGTGTGTTATCTCAAATGAAACATTTCACAGTGATGAAGCAAAGTGGAGCTCCAGCCTGTAACTCTTGAAGGTCCACTGGAGCAGTTTGGAATCGGGAGCCTCCCTGAAGACAAACAACAGAAAAGCCATTCAACCTGCTTGTAAACAACAGTCTTTGTCTTAACAGGTTGAGTCAAGTCCTCTGGACAAATTCTTCTTTGTTGAAATGTTTTATCTTTCATCCAAAGTACTTTTTCTGCAAGTATGCTCCTCAGGCTGAAGAAGTCCAGAGGACCTCACTCAGCCTGTTGGATAGCTCTGCCTGAATTACTGAACATGCATCAGGTCAACGTTCTTTGTGGTGCAGCGGTGATTCAGACACGTTGAGCACCACGTTGTTCATTTTTAGGCAAATGCACTCAGGCTCCGTGTCTAAACATTAATGCCCACGTTCCTTTGAAGGTGAGCACCAAAGCCACTTGAAATAAATCTTTAAATATGAAACAAAATGCACTGTGCACACTGGCAAGCAGGCTTTATTCATAAATGCATGTTAACAAGATCCAATGGAACAGAAGTCTGCTGTGAATAACGATGTTTGTTTAGTATAAATTTACTTTTTCATGGCCATGCTTCATCATGTTTGTGAATGTTTTGGTGAAAATATGTGAATGATTTGCGATGTTTGAAAAACCTTTCCTCTGTGTAATTTTTCTTTTCTCCCCTGCAGATGTGGATGAATGTGCAGCGGGGATTGCGGTGTGTCCCCGGTTCAGAAAATGCATCAACACCTTCGGTAGCTACATCTGCAAGTGCCACGAAGGCTTTGACCTGCAATACATCAATGGGAAATACCAGTGCACTGGTTAGTAGAGTAGAGTGGGTTAGTGCTTTTGGTATTTGAAGCATTTTTTCTTTTCATTTGTTTTGTTCGTTTTAGGTTTTTTCTTCTATCTATTTTCTGTGACTGCAGAATTTTTCTTTCTGTGCACACAGAGACATGAGACTGATTCATCGGACTTGTTGCTCCATGTTTGTCATGTTTTTCACTCTTTATTCCAGATTAAACAAAAATATTTGATTCTTGATGCTGTTTCTGTGACATTTTAATCCAAACGCATCAGTTTACACAAATATTTCCCCCCAGTTTTCTTTTCTTTCAATTCCATAAACGCAACTGCTTGTAAAATTCAGGTCTGTGTGAAGCAAAATTTATCCATACATTGTTTTTTAACTGCTTCTTCCTTTTTGGCTTACGGGGATTACTGGTGCCCATGTCCAGCAGTCACTGTGCGAGAGGCGGGGTACACCCTGGACAGGTCTCCAGTCCATCACAGGGACACATAGAGACAAACGAGACAAACAACAATTCACTCTCTCACTCACACCTAGAGACAGTTTAGAGTTACCAATCAGACTAACATGCATGTTTTTGGTCTGTGGGAGGAAACTGGAGTACCTGGAGTAAACCCACGCATGCACAGAGAGAACATGCAAACTCCACCCAAAGAGGTGCCGGACGAGCGTTTGAATTGGCAACCTTCTCACTGAGAGGCAACAGCTATACCAACTGCGCCACTGTTCCACCAAACAAAATTAAATGCAATGACATTTTCATTCAGACTTCTGATGATTGTTTCCTGCATTATTATTTTGTGCAAGTGTGAAGCATATGTTTGCAGCTTCTGTGCTCTGAAAGCCTCACACCCCCTCTGAGGTTTTTAGCGCTCTCCTTCGCCATGTTGCATACCACCATTTTAAATTTTACTACACAAACTGAAGCTGGGGACAGGTTTTCATACTGGCGTGCCTGCAGCTGAAAAAGCAAGATAACTTTTTTCTGAACAAAGCATCAACTAACAATATGAGACAGAGCCGTTTGCATAATGACAGCCCCAATCCACCAACAAAAGTCAGAAGTAAGTATGCACTTTACTCAGAGAAATCCATCAAAAACATTGGAAGAAACCTTTGGGTCTGTGTGGAGGAATGAACTCTGACATCAGTTTGAAAAACTGGGAGCAAGTCCTCTTTAAAAAAACAACCACTGACCTTTAGTTCTTAAAAATAAAGAAAATAAATATCTGAAATGTCATATTACATTGTTTTTTAATAATAAAACTAAAATTATTTTTACTATACAAAATTAATAGATAAAATATTGTTTAAAAATCTTAAATAATAAAAGAAATATTTCATTCTTTTTCTTTTGGCTGCTCCCTGCATTAGGGGTCGCTACAGCGAACTAAGTCACACGAAGACTTGGAAGTTATTTTTATGTCGGATGTCCTTCCTGACACAACCACAGACACCGAGCTACCACAGCCTCTGTGTGGAGCAGAGAGCTGCTATCTAGGACACCCGGAGGAGCAGATGGTGGGGGTTAAGGGCCTTGCTCAAGGGCCCAGAGTGGGACGAATGAGGGTGGGGGCAGGTGTGGGTGCTTCACCTACCCCACCCACATTTTATTTTGATGTTGTCGGTACCGGGACTTGAACCGGCGATCTTCCGATCATAGGCCCACCTTCTCTAGCCTCTGCGCCACCACTCCCCCCTAAAAAAATATTTAATTGAAGTCAGTTAATAAAACCAAACCAATGAATAAAATGAAAAATTAACATACAGGTACAATAGAATATGTGACTCAAGTCATTGGGCAGCACAGTGGATTAGCGGTTAGCACTGTTGCCTCACAAGAAGGTGCTGGGTTCGAGCCCCTGTTTGGACCTGGTGTCTTTCTGGGTGGAGTTTGCATGTTCTTCTCGTGTTTGCACGGATATTCTCAGTGTAATCCAGTTTCCTCCCTCAGTTCAAAAACATTCATGTTAGGCTGCCTTCAGGCTCAGGTAGACTTTAAAAAGAGATCTGTGATCTCAATTATATTTGTCTGGTTAAATAAAGATTAAAAATGAAATATAATGCTCAAAAATGTAAAAAAAAAAAGTTCTTCAAAACTCATTGAATAGTGAAGGTTACATCGTGCTAAAGTACCGATAGTTCAAATCTGCTTGTTTTGCAGTTCAACTTTGCACTGACAATTGAAAACGAGAACTGTATGTACTAAAAATAAACTCCATTAAGTTTTCTGTACAAGATGACTTCTGTAATTTTCTTTTTCGCCTCAGATTTTATGGATTCTTTCAACACAAGCCAAATGAAAAGATTTATTCTTTACAGTTAAAGTGTTAAACTATTCAGAGAAAGCTAAATGACTTTGATTTGTTTGATTCAGAATCATTTTTATCCTGAAACAACCCTCGTAAGGATTTTACTCAGGTATTCATGCAAAAAAATCCCCATTGCTTACTGAAGTGCTTTTGTGTAAAACTTGGGCCTTTCTTCACACACACATGAAGCCATTAGCTTTTGATATTCTGCTGTTATGTCTGAAGTTTTCCCCTCTTGCTCCCTGTAACTGAATGCTTTTATCTTTCAGATGTGGATGAGTGCACTTCAGGCCTGAGCCACTGCAGCAGCTTCGCCACCTGCCACAACACGCCAGGCTCATACAAGTGCAAATGCAAAGACGGCTACAGGGGGATGGGCCACGACTGTAAACGTAAGGTCATGGGAACAGAAAAGTTCTCCCCGATGCTCACTTTTTGCCCAGAGGAATGGAGGCCCCTTGATTTTCTTTTTTTCCTGAATTAAAAAAAGCAAACAGTTGGCAAGCAAGAAAGACGGAAGAATTGTGCTGGTTCTGAAAACACTTTATTCATAACAGAAGTCAGTTGGTGCTGAAATCACGCTGCCTCCCTTATCGCACGAGTCCAGTGGGAGTCCAGCTCACTCTGGACTTTCTAATGAGCCAGAAAGAGAATTCAAAAGTGGGAAATACTTTCATGTTGCTTTCCCAAAATGCAGATAATTAGCCTGAAGAGAAGTCATTTAGTTCCTCTATTTTTGTTCATTCATCTTAAACAATATTTCAGTGCACAGAGGAAAGAGGATACCTTTTAGAAATGCTCCCCTCACCTCCCATCACTTCATTAAAGGGCGTGACATGGGAAGCATTTGCTCAGAGAGTCGAGTTACAATATTTCATTTGTGGATCACATATCAAAGTGGCCTGAAACCTGAGAAATACTTGAGTTCCAACTATTTCCTTTTATCCACTTTAAGTCCTCACTTAGCGGCCGTTGCACCAGAAACCCTCCACCCATAGGTCTTGAGTCTACTTGAGACAAAAGCCAAGAGTAAAGGAACTAAAAATAATTTAGATTCATCAGTGTTCAGCAGTCTGAGCACAGAAAGCTTGTTCTTGCAGGAAGTCTGGCTAACACACCAATATTTACTGATCAGGATGGTCACAGCAGAAAGAACAGCTTTAAGTCTGGTATTCACGCTGTTCTGATCTTTTGCTTGTTCAGCTTCTATTTTAGTGAGACTTCAGAATGCTAACATTTAGTTTATTGATATCTGGAGAAGTCTTAGTGGGTGAAATAAAGCCTTCCTCTGTGAAAATCAGGCTAATCACTGCAGTTAATCTGCAATTCTATATGCCATTAACACTTAAGTGCTCATATTTCAGAATCTGCATTCTCTTATAATTTCAGCCATTCCAAAGGTGGTTATTGACCCTCCAAGACCTGGCAAACAGCCACCCAATCATCACAACCACATCCCAGATTTGGATCACAAGAGGTTCCCAACAATCCGCCCGACAGTGACACCAAAGAAACCTATCATTACTGTCCCCAAACGACCAGCCACAACTATGACCAAAGCCCCTCTGCCTCCCAGGAGGGTGACCCCTCCTCCACCCAAGCCAGCCGTGCCAACTCACAAGCCTTTCATGCCAACAAGAAAGCCCACACACAAACCCTACATACCACCAAAGCCAGTGGCTCCGACCAGACGACCCCCACCACCATCCCCTCCACCAGTTACACCAGTAGACAACACCATCCAGAAGGAGGTCACCAAACAGAGAGGCGATGTGCACAGTAAGAAATAAAACTTACTTTTTTCCCTCTAACAGCTGACTGACATTTCACATGAAAAGACAGGAACAACATGCCTCATAACGTGTCATTTATAAACAGTTCATCTGTCATACACTTAACCTTTATACACAAACATAAGTAAATGGAAAATGTAGCATTTTTTTAGTAAATGTGCTACTGGTTGCATGGAGAATGTGTTGCCTCATAACTTTCAGCTACTACCACACAAAACTCTGTAACATTTTCAGAGTTAAAGTCATTTTGTGTTTGCTCAGTTCAGTTAGCTGTGACATTGATTTCAAAAGCATTCAGTGGTGAATGTATATCCAGAGTGACGTCACGTGCGCCGCAGAAGGGTAGCACTGACGGGAGCGCCACTTCGACTCCCTCTTTTTTTCTTCCTGTTGTTTTTGTTTTAAATTTTGTAGTTCCTACACTGTACACTCACTATACGGGTAAGACTGCAATGCACTTTTGTAGTTTTGTGAGTCGCTGCCTTGCCATCATGCCATTGTGGTTCAGTTCCCGGCCCCCTTCCAGCCTTGGCCTCAGGCTCCAGCCTGTCATGGCAGCCGTTTCCATGATCCTCCATCTGCCTGCATGGACCGGACTCTATGAAACAGTTCGGTTCTGCAGGGAAACCTTGAATGTTCTCTGTCTGCCCGACCCAGTTCTGTAGGGCAGTCTGATAGGGCAGTTGTTGCGGTTGTTGTTATCATCATACTGCTAAGAGGACTGTGCTGCTAACAAGACCTGCTAATGCTACTAACAAGAGCATGCCGCTAACAGAAACACACTGCTAACTGAGCCACATTGCTAACAGTAGGGGGGGAATGGTGTAAGATAATCCACTTTTTGCCTTTTTGGTTCTAAATGTGAGATTAAATGACACAGGAGCAAGGGCGTCAGAAGCATCCGTAATGTGGGGGGGGGGGACACAATGATGTGTGTAGGTGTGCGCGTGTGCGCACGTAAAAAAAGCGTGTTCACTAGTGAACAAAAAAGCAGCATTTCACCTAGATTTCCTTCAATTCCACACATTTAAAACATGTTTCTCACCAAGTTTGTGTAAATTCATCTGTGGATTTTAAAGACATTTTAACTTTAATACACTTTAATACAGAGCATCAGATCGGCACCATTTGTCTTTATAGAGAAATAAAAAACATCACCCCTGGACTTTTTTTACTTGTGTTCAACACTTCTCATCTAAATGATGTTTCTCATGAAGCTTGAGGACAATAAGGTGTGGGGTTTTAAAGACATTTCAACTTTAATGCACCTGAACACACCACGTCTCTTACACCTGCAGCGTCTTACAGCATCACAGTTACTGCTAAGATGTTACAGACGTAGCGCTCCACTTCTCTCCTCCTAACATGAAAATGTTTCTGATCAACCCCCTGGTCAACAACTGCCCGTACTAAGCTGCTAAACTGGCGAGCGAGTAACACAGAGGTGTCTCCATCTCCTCTACGTGTGCACGTTTTCTGCCGAGGCAGGAGGAGACCGGTGTAGAGTTGGAGGTAACCAGGAAAACCTGGAGTGGAGTTTTAGTGGTTTGAGTATTCTCCTATTAATCAGGTGGAATGGATTAGTTCACGAAGAAAAATAAACTGCACCGCCTGAACTAATGTTTTATAGTAAAAGTGTGTGTGTGTGTGTGTGTGTGGGGGGGGGGGGGGGGGGGGTCCAAATGAACGTTTTTTTAATGTGGGGGGGACTTGTCCCCTTCACATATAATGGTTGCGATGCCTATGCACAGGAGTACAAAGAAAACACATACCCTTATTTGGGATGTTGTCTAAAAAATGTAGGTTATAAAAGCAAATCTATAACAAACAGCTCTAGAAATATGATGTGATCAAAAAGTGTTCCAGTGGCTCTATTTGCCCCAGGCAAAGGGTAAATTAATCCAACTCAGAGGGTAAATTGAACCACTGAGGGGTAAACTGACAATTCTGCTTTGTCCAGTTTTGAAACGGGCATAAAACACATATTTTATTCAGGAAAATCCATTTAAATGGAGGTCACCTGAAACAACAAAAAATCAGCTTAGTAAAGTTTGAATTTTATGTATTTTCCACTACTGAACAATAACTTTGAGGTAAGCTTACAAATCAAGATGGCTTTCCATATCCAGTCATCATGTACCAAAAATGGGGAAAAAAATAATCATAACCATTTAACCAGAGAAACAAATCCTGAAATATGTTCATTTGTAACATTACATTACATTAGTCTCACAATTTTGAACTTGAGTATTTAGGAGGTTGAACTTCAGCATGCTCATTGTATAAATTTTACTCGCCATTCCACTGATAAAAGTTGCAAGAAAATGTGAATACCTCCAACCTTCTGAGGTTTAGGAAGCTTTCTCAGCATGTCATTCAGTGGAATGGATCCCGCATCATTCTCCTTGAATGCGAAGGAGGGCTTCTCTCTGCCAGTACTTCCATGTATTCTGAGAAATCTTGCAGTCACTTCCTTGCTTTCAAAGTGCTCAATCAAATTGATGTAATGGTGTATCTTGCATTTGGTTGCAAACGTTGCAGTGACAAAATCACCAACAGAGAGATCAGAGTTGCCATGTTCACTCTCATCCCCCTAGGCTCTCATCCTCTGAAGTGTCATTAAGTGGGATTGAAACATAACTCTCTTCAATTCAATTCAATTCAGTTTATTTATATAGTGCCAAATCACAACAAAGGTGTCTCAGGGCACTTTCCAGAAACATCCACATACACAGAAAGGCACCAATTAGTAAAGTTCTTTATCTAAGGAAGGAAGCCAGCAGACTCGTTGAATCTTCACTTTGTCGCAGTCTCCCATCCTGAGCAAGCACAGTGGCAACAGTGGAAAGAAAAAAATCCCTTTTAAAAGGAAGTACTCTCTTCAGAGTGGCTGTTTACTGGAATTTTTATTTTTGTTTGTGCCTTTGACTTGTCTGGATCTTAAACATTTGACACTTCTTTCCTCTTGCATTTTCTTCTTTTTATCTGCTATTTCAACTGCATACTTTTGAGGTGTGTCAGTCAGGATCCTTGTCTTCATCCACTGCATTCTTTGCTTTGCCCTTGGCTTCTGGTTTTTGAGAAAGTGAAGAATTTCAGGAGAAGACACATATCCATGGGAGTGGACAAGTGGCTCTGCTCTGCTCTGCATGCTGAAGAACATCCCTGTGAAGACACCTCAACAGAGGTGGACTCTGAAGGTGGATCATCTTCAGAGGCAGATAGCAGGGTTTGGCTTATCAGTCACCATGGATGGCCCAAGCTCATCATCAGCAAAAATATCTCAGTTGAAAGGAAAGATTCCTGTGGACCTGAATCCAGAAGATATATTCTGTAGTGCCATTGCTGACATATAAGCATCATTAACATATCCAGCAATCTGGTATATGCTGTCTGTTTGGCCTGGGTTAGATCTTATCCAACCAGATCTTTGTTATAATAGCTCTTGAATAGACCATACACACTCTTATCCAAAGGCTGCAAGCGATGGGATGGGGGAGGTGGAATTTTGGACATAACAATCCAGTTACTCTTTGCCTATTCCAGTGCTTTTAGAGAAATGCGAGCCTCATGGTTATCAAGAAGTAGTAACATAGGATGATCATTAGAGCAGTTGGTGTGCTGAGCCTTATACTCAAGGAATTCAGTAAAGGTGTTCTTCTTTTGTACATTCCTGGCAAAATGGCTCTTCTATAATGTGTAAAAAAGGACAAACACACATAGTTTACCATAGGATCTATATGGTGTTTGCCAGGGGTAAGGTGAACCAGTGGTTCAATTTAACCCATGGCCTTTGGCTCATTTTCCCCCAAAGCAACCGCTTTGGAAAATATGGTGCAGTTTAGCTAGAAAAGCTAATTATTTAGCAAAATCATTTACAATATAACATGATTTTATAGGCTGGGAAACCACCAACACGTACCAGGTACAACACTACGTTAAAATAAATTAACCTTGATGTAACATTCATTCTTTTTCTTCTTCTTCTTTCGGCTTTTCCCTTTTCAGGGATCTCCACAGCGAGTCATCCTCCTCCATCTCACTCTGTCCTCTGCATCCTCTGTCCACTCTCCAACTATCTCCATGTCCTCTCTTACTGCATCCATGTATCTTCTCTTTGGTCTTCCTCTTTGTCTTGTCTCTTTGATGTAATAATATTCATTATACATGCAAATCAAAATTTTACTTAGACAAGGAAAAATGTGTTTTTGTGGATAAAAATCTTACCACTGTTCCCATGTGCTCCTGCCTGTCACAGTCTGCTAGCAATAATGGCTGTCATATGCAGGTGGGGCCACATGACCAAAGACTAGTAGGGTCAAAGTCAGTGTCAAAGTTTCTTTGTCATGCAGGTGACCAGACGTCTCCGATTTCCGGGGACAGTCCCCATTTTGGATGATCTGTCCCTGGTTAAAGCTGTCCCCGGACATGTCCCAGATTTTAGCATTTTATGAATGAAAAAAAAAAGTTGTATGTACACTGTTATTACAGTAGCCGGGTAGAATGTGCAAGACATGAGTGAGTATGTTGCTCGCAACAACAACTATTACTGTAGCTAGTCGCACTGGCGCTGCTGTTAACATTACAGACAGGTTCTTTATTGTCATTCGCATCACATGTGGTACAGGAGGTGGAAGGAAATTGTGTATACAGGGTCCCAGTTACATCCAACAATAGCAAAGTATAGTGTAAAAAGAAACACTAAATAAGGAACTAAGACATACACTAAAATATGCACTAAACAAATGCTGAATGGTACGCTAAAAGATTTAAGATATATGCTAGTCACTAACTGTGCAAAACAATACACCAAACAACAGCAGCATGAACATGAATCTTTGTGGGTGGATGAGTATGAATGAATGAGGATAGCAGCATGAACTAATCAGTAGCATGGGATCAGCAGCATGGATAATCAGCAACATGGATAGTCAGCAGCACATATCAACAATTAAAGTTGCATTGAAATGTTTTTTTTTCACAGTG